GAATGCCCACTTCGTCGGATACATCCGACGAAGTGGGCATTCACCCATGAAAGCTTATGCTCCAATACATCTGTTAGTCTTAAAGGTGCCACAGGACTCTCTGTTGCTTATGTCAAGACAGAAGCAGTGTTTGGGAGACCAATCCATACTGCTGCTTCAGCATATGGGCAGAGATTAGCACTCCAAGACTCAAGGCAGGTTGCATTCTTCCTATTTGCATTTGTGTTTTACATCCTCTTTATTGTATTGATCTCCATTTTACAATAAACCTGCACACAGCAAACACACCAAGTGGGATGTCACCAGTGCTGCTAGAGATTATTTTGAGGGATCTTTCATTATTTTATTGCTAGAATGGTAACAAATCAGTTTGAATGAAAAAAAAATCAGGGTAGGAATTCTGCACATTTGTCTGAATATCTTGTCACAGTTATCTAAATGTATCTCCCAGTTTCCATTGACCATTGCCATATGTATATAATATTATTTCTTGTGCTGAGGGCTAACTAAGGCCAGTGTACCACACAAGTTATACCTCATGCTTATTTTAGAAAGCACCTACGATATTCAAATAAATGGTTAGGTTTTCAGTTTATTAAAATAATGATTTGATTAGTCAGTAACAGGGCATTTTGGGAAGGGACATGCAAATATCTTTGTCCATGAACTAGATATTTAGTAACAGGATAGATGCCAGATTTGAATCTTCATGAAATGACCTGGTTATATATGAACAACAGGTGAAACTTAATTTTCATCCTGCTTTTGAACCAATGCAAAAAGGACTAAGCTTTGTATATCCATGAGCGGACATGAACAGTCTTCTAAATCAAGCCTTCTGAACTGATGTCTTCTAAACCAAGACTTCTGGAAAGTCTTGAGAAGTGAGCTACAAACAGAGAATTAAGGATGAAAAAGTCTTTAGATCCTGCTGCTATTTTTTATCTGATCATCTCAGCAATAGAATTATCAGTGGGAGTTGTTGCAAATGGATACATTGTTGCCTTAAATTGTATCGACTGGGCCAAAAGCAGAACATTGTCTTCGTATGATAAGATCATAACCAGTCTGGCCTTCTCCAGATTTTGCCTACAATTCTTGGTGACATTAAACAATATTTCATCTAAGGTATATCAAAATATCTTTGATAGGTTTCAAATACTACAGCCTTACCTAGTTATCTGGATGTTCATAAACCAAGTGAGTCTCTGTTTTGCAAGCTGCCTTTCTGTGTTCTACTGTGTGAAGATTGCCACTTTCAACCAGTCCCTCTTCAGCTGTTTAAAATTGAAAATCTCCAAACTGGTGCCATGGCTGCTTTGGGGCTCTGTGCTTTACTGCTTGGTTACCACAGTTGTTTTACATTGTTCAGCTATTCCTATTGCGTATCCTCTCACAACTCCACAGATCGTCTATCAACAAATAGCACGATGTCAGACAATATAAATAACCTTTTGGAGTTCACTTTTCTGATACACAGTGTAGGATCTATTTTCCCCCTTATCTTATTTATTGCTTCATCTGTTCTGTTAATCATATCCCTTTGGAGACACATCAGGAAAATGAACCTTAATTCAGACCTTAATCAAAATTTCAGGAACCCCAACACGGATGCTCATATGCGTGCTCTTAAATCTGTGGTGTCCTTTTTCATCATCTACAATATTTATTATGTGGCTTCAACATTCCCAATAGGAAACCCATCCTATTTCAACGATGAATGGAAATATACGGTGTGTATATTTATAGCTGCTGCCTACCCTTCTGTACACTCCATTATCTTGATTCTGGGCAACCCCAAATTAAAACTGGCCTCAGCAAATATTCTGAATTCTGCCAATTCCTGTTTCAGAAAGGTTACTTCATAATATCTATTCCTGTTCTTCCAGATCAAAAATGTTCACTACCTTTGTAAAGCATAGTAGTGGAAAAATATTTGATTTTCCCCTTTGTTTCCATATTCTCCAGTCTATTATCCATTTGAAATCTTTCTTAGGGTCCAACTGGAAAAGTTGAATCCCCTTTCAGTGGATTAGAAGCTCCATATGCTTGCAAGACCCTGGCACACATGCGTGGAAATGTGCAGCAAAGCAATCCTGGCCCCTGACATTGAATAGTTGAGGAATAGTTTTTTTTGACAGCAAGGTCTTTGAATAAATTCTCTCTTCCCAGAAACCTGTTTGGGGCAATGTGGAATTCCCCATAGACTGAACACTTGATTGGAAGAGATGTAGTTTCTCCAGTGGACCACCTGACTAAAGAAGAAGAGAGATGGATTTTAAATGGTGGGCTTCTGTAAGCCAAGAGGAGCCACCAGAAATGGAAATCCCAACTGAAGGAATGGAGGCAAGAGGGAGGCGGTGTACTTTTCGAAGACACTGACCAAAGCTAAAGGGCTCTGAAGTGCAATAGGGACTCTGTGGGGGGATTGTATTCAGGACTTTGTTTTTTCATAAATCTGTAAATCTCCTATGCTAAGAGTAAAGTGTGTCATTTAAGCAGTTGCTGTGCAAAGCCTGTGTTCCTTACTTTAGTTGCTATATGTCCCTGAATACTTGAAGTACACAGCAACCACAGCCAAGTGGGACTTGGCAGGTGGGGAGAGGAAGGAATATACATAAACCGTTGGGAAGTCTTGGGAGTGTCAGCATTGGTTTCCGAAGATAGGGCAATTGGACTGTGAATTCCCTCCTCCCAAAGAAAGAGGCCAAACAGGGAATCTTCACCTGTAATTGTACCTAAGAGCCGATACCTCGAGACAGTATCTGGACCCATCTGACTGGAAGCACATGGAATCCAAAAGTTGGGTACGATAAAACATACTGGTGTAAGGAACATGAGCCACAATTCATGTCAGGCCTGGAAACATTTAATTGTTCAGTGCTGAATGAAGTCATTTTAACAAGAAATGCTAAAGCAGTTTTATGTCTTCAGGTTAAAGGGCACAGGGGTTAGCTATAATCTTGTATCTAGGCTGGGACCCTCAGAGTCATTTCCGTAATGTCTTTCCTAAGCAATTGCAATGGGTTTAATGAGTGTAAATGGGGGAGAGTGTAAATAATTAGCTTATAGTCTTTAATTATATTTCACCAAAGAAATGTGATCCTCGTGTCCTTTGGCCTTAGACAAACGTCTGTTACCAAGTTCTCCAACATGGGTTCATGGTTATGAGACATTACCTGTCTCTGTTGAGCCCAGCAGATTTGTCAAGAAAATGATCATTCCTTACTTATGAGCTCAAAAAGCTTGTTTCATCAATCTGGTGCCAGATAATAACAATCTTGTGAGTTAAAGATTACAGAAATAAAGTCGTGAGAATTCTTTTATATGGCAGCTATGATAAGTGGGCTTACAAATTTATCCTAAGTGTAAACTCAGCTGAAAATTGAGAGTGAAAGTTCACAAATTGTCACAATGAGTTGTTATATAAAATTGTTTAAGAACAGCTGGAAGAAAAAGACAGACTGAATTAATTTAAACAGAAAGTGTTTTACTGATACCACTCAAGGATTATGTTAAGATTATGATGAGTAAACAAGAGGAGAAATCAATTAAACAAAATTGTTGTGCTGGAAATTAGGGCTATTGGAGGACAAAATAATGAGAGGATGGACTACTCTGCCCAAAACTCCCTTTTATGCTTCTGAAAAAGAAAAGAATTATTGGAAAAAATTAGTAGAAGAAACAGTTGTCTGACAACAACCATTGCAGCGAGCTTTATCATCTTGGCTTCCATCCCTATCATTCCCTGGTATACTGGACCGTCTTCATCCTAGACCTCAGAGATATCCTGACCAGACCAGGCCAGAGAGGACACAGATGACATTGCTACCTCCATCAGCTTCCAGCTAAATTCTGGATATCATCTGGGAAGTCCCACTTTAATCATCCTCCATCTCCCCACCCCATGTGTCCTTTTCCTTCTATACCTTATTTTTTTTCTTTCCTGTGTCTCTCCTTTACCTTCTGTTTCATAAGAGTCCGGCAAAGCTGGTCAAGGTATATGTTTTGCAACACTGATGTAAACCTGTGTTTGGAAAGAGGCATCTAAAAGCAATGCCAAAACAGCCCAATGCAAGTACAAATTTGCCAGATCTTGGAGTGGCTGATAAGACCATGTGCTGTGCCTTTGTTTTTGCAGCAATGAGGTTCCAAGAGAGAGTCAGCCTCTGAGACAGACGCTGCATTTTCTCTCTTTGCTGTTCTTTTCTTCTGATACACTACAATCTCCCATTTTGTGTGTTTGTTTTGTTTTCTCTTAAAGGAAGCAGGATTACACTTGTATAACAACAACTCCAGCCCATCTTCTCCAGCTAATTTCTTCTCTATTCTATTAAAGGGAAAGAGAACTTGGATTATGGTTTAAATCAAAGCCTTCCTTTAAAATTTACATGTCAGATGCTTTAAACTTTCCCCCCCTCCTTCTTTTATTTTTAATAATAGGTTTGAAAGGATTTTATTTGCCATGGGACTAAGCAGGTTGAGGACACTGTATACCAAACTCCTAATCTTGTTTAATACTGTTTAATGTTGGACCGTTACTGGGATGTGTTAACACCTTTGAGTCTTTGGGCTCACATATCCCATTTAAATTAATACAATATGGAATATGAGGGATGCCCTAATGATCCATCAGCTTATGAGAATATGTGAGCACTTGTATGTCAAAATAGCTTTAATAGCTCCTCAAAAGTAGATACCAGGAACATAAGAACGTCCATACTGGGTCAGACCAAAGATCCATCTTACCCAGTATCCTGTCTTCTGACAGTGGCCAATCGCAGGTGCTTCAGAAGGAATGAACAGAACAGTTAATCATCAAGTGATCCATCCCCTGTCGCCCATTCTCAACTTCTGGAAAATGGAGGCTAGGGACACCATCCCTGACCATCCTGGCTAATAGCCATCGATGGACCTATCCTCCATGATTGACCTATCCTCCATGAGAATATCTCCCACTGATACAGCCAACGCCTCCCATTGGAAGTGGTTTAATGATGTCAACAGGAGAGGTCTCTGCCATTGGCCTAGAGGGCAACGCGGGAGACCTTACAGCGGTGCAGCTGCAGTGGTAGAGCTGTGCCACAGAAGGGTCTCTAGAGTAGAGTCTCAAAAGTGCAACAAGGCTCAAGCAAACTCAAAGGCAAATGTGAGCCATTGGATACTGCTCCCAGGTTAATACCCTATTATCCTTACACTGGTGACTGTCCAAATGAGCGGACTCAGCCCGTGCTATAACAATGAGTACATGTTTGTGTTTGGGTATATGTGAGAATTTCACATTTCAAAGGAAGAAGAGGACATATTTTTGTGGTAGTTTGATATTTTTAATTTACAAATAAATGTTGGCTCTTTGAAGCATGGAATGCTAGATGTAGTCCTAAGGAGATACATCAGTGAATGGAAAACAGTTGAGTGGTCACAGATGCATTATAAAATATTACTTGGATTTGCAACGTATCAGAAATATTTATGACATTTGACAATTTTATATATGGGTAGGTGAAGTCCCCCATTATTATCATTTTGTTGGCTCTTGCTTCCTCTCTGATTTCTCTCAGCACTGTGCAGTGAATTACTTTTTCTTGATCCAGTGGCAGATTGTGTTTCAGCTTGGGATTTGTATCCATATAGACTCTACTAACTGCCCCCAAATCTCTTTTCAACCCCAGAAGCTTTCTCTACCTTTTTCCTGGATCACACTATTCTCACAGCCTACTGCTTGGCTTTATTCTGTTTTGCCTCTGTCTCTCCGCTTTTGTCTGTTCTCAGTTTCTGTGTCCTCTCCCTCCCTCCCTCACCCATGCACACAAACCTGGTCACAATCGCCAGTGGAATCTTCACTCCCACATGGTGCTAATTTCTGGGCAGATTCTATTAGGCTTTGTTTTTGCTGTGGGGTCTCTTAAGTGTTTTTACAACTATTTTAAGTGAAGGGCCTGTTCACACATCATTTTGAATCAGATTTTCTCTCAGTCCAAAACAAGGTTTCACTGAACTCGTAACAATAGCAAATCAACACATCCTGAATTTCTAATAGCAAACCATTGAGCAAATCCATGAAAAATTTGACCAAATAATGAAACAATCAAGAAACATGTGTAATCGGTGTGTGGGTATGCCATGGAAAAAAAAAGCTGTAATTCATATAATTTATCATGATGAGTTATTCCCTCCAGGCCTAGTCACACAGAGCAGTAAGAGGTAGTCTAGTTAAAGAAGAAAAACACTGGCCTGTGTTCAGTAACATTCTGAAAGTGGCACTATGGGGGTCCTCACAACAAATTTTTTGGTGGCCTCAGACGCAACCACGAACTCTTCCTGGTGGCCGCTCTGATAGTTTTTCCTAAAATACTTAAATAGTTTTACGAAAAAAGTCATCTGGTTGTAAGGTCGAGGTGATGGGCATGAGTCAGGGGCTGGAGCCTGGGGTCCTGCTGCATGGCTGGGGGCTGGAGGAGGCAGCAGGGGTCAGGGGCGACGTGGGGAGGTTGGGAGCCTGGAGCCGGAACCCAGAGCTCTGTGGCTGGGGGACAGAGTCAGCCAGAGCTGCTGCCCACTGCCCCAGGGCTGAAGCCCAAATCCCAAGCCCCACCACCCTCAGAAAAGAGGGGAACACACACTGGTCACCTGTTCCTAAAATGTTTGTGACTCCAGAAGGGGGCAGGGACCAACCCTGGCTGGGGGCCCGAGGGAGGGTCTGCTGTTTTCCCCCCCACTCCCCATCACCACCCATGAGACCGTGGACACAAGAAAAGTCCCTGGTGACCATATTCAGCCACGGTGGCTGCATTTGAGAAAGGCTGCCTGTAATATCAATATATTCGCTATTCTGCTGTTCCTATTCCTACTCGTTCAAGGTAATTAT